AGAGAGGGGGGGGATAGAGAGGGGGGAGAGAGAAAGGGCAGAGGGGGGGATAGAGAGAGGGGGGAGAGAGGTAGAGAGGGGGGGATAGTTTGTCACCAGCACGAAGACCCCCTATGTACACTTCTCCCCCATTTCTCGCGTCTGTCGCACGTCACATGACTACACACAACAAACGCAGCATAGAAACTCGCGCAGGTTTTTGATCTGCGAGTTTCGCACATTTTTGCACGTTCGCCGCGCACACACACAGTGCACACCTTGCATGTCGTCCTTAGTGCACCATAAACAATGATTAGCACCTGGAGCACGACACGCTCTTTCCAGGCATTTCCCAACACTCACGTAATCCTACGAAGTGCGAATGGGACCTTACGTCAGTTTTTGGTTTTCTGTCTCACCCGCCAGCACATACAATAGTCTTCGATTTTTTTTCTGCACGCCCATCTGAGGCTACCCCGCCCACAAGGTGACAACGCTGCTGTGCGATTTCGCTGCAGGGTGGACGGCGTTGTCACCTGGCCGGCAGCGTAGCCTGAGATGGACATGTAGGTTGGAATGGACTTTGAATGTCCAGCTGTAGCTAAAACTTTTGCAGCAGTTACAGTTATTGGAAAAGCTTAAACCATTAAAACCAGTATAACCCCCCTCCACCCCAATATGGTGTACCCCATCCCCTGTGTAACAGTCACTAGGATTGCCCTGCATGCAAATGTGGAAGATTCTAAATAAAGACATAAATTAAAAGAAGAACACGATCATTACATTGTGAACCCGGGATACAAGACTGCCATATAGTGATCACTTAAAGGCGCAGTCCACCCGCGAGTAAGATTACGGGTGGGGGTCGGGGTCTTCTATCCATGTATAGAAATCCCGTCAATAACCCGGCACTGAGCCACGCACATCAGTCCCTGCTCTCCAAGGAGCTCGCCATCTAACGTCACCGCCGGCGTCAGACGCGTGCCCGAGCGCCACGGTTGTCACCGGTGGGAAGCCGAATGAGCCATCCTCATGATTAATTGCCGGCGCGCAACCACGCGAGTGACTTACTGCAGCTGATGGAGGATCGCTGGCTTGCCAAGGACGAGGAAAAAAAGTCAATAGGATATCGGAGACGCGTCGTTCACTTACCTCCCGCCGCAGAGCGACAGACGGCCAGGACGAGGACGCAGGAGCCCAGGAACGTGGTGCAGAAGCTGGGGATGACCATGTCTGTGGAGGAGGATGATCGGCGTGCCTTGGCTGTGTCTCTGCACTGCCTCTGCTCACACACACACTGACTGTGCACTGACACGCGGTGGGAGAAGTTTTTTTTGGTCCAGCAGCCGCCCCCACCTCACTGAGATTGGGGAACCGCTCTGATCTTTTGAAGGTGGGTTTTTAAATCACATCCATGTTATGGGTTGCGCCCCATCCTGACCACATCTCTAGGTAGGCGGGGACTGCTCACTTCATGGGTTGGGTACCGCCCACCTGAGGCCCCCGATCCCACCAGTGAATGCGGTTTTAAGATTGTGCGCTCTAGACGCTCTAATGCGGTTGATGCCGTGATCCTGGTCCCAGACACAGTATTTTGACTGGGGGAGGGGAGACTGAGGAAATGCTTCCTCCTGCCTGCAGCAGACTGATCACATGACGTACTCACAAACCAGCATGTAAAACAACTTGTCTCACCACTAAGGACAATGACAGAGGTTTGGATACACGTCTTCTGCAGAGGATGTGTAAGCCGCACTGCCGCGCCAAGGCACCTCTTATAGTGCGGTCCTAACTCTAAACTATGAGAGTCTCCATCTTGGAGCACATGAGGGCAGAAGATATCAAATTGTGTGCACCTTACTGTATAACTGGTAACAAATTGTTGAGTGCGTTTGTCGTTTGTTTTGCTTGATCACATGACGTGTCGGGATACATGGAAAGCTCCTCTTCCTATGTGATTAGTTGTGAATATTGATTTGTAATCGATCACGTTGGGTCAGTCCCACCTGCTCCTTCCTCATCAATAACTCGGCACAGAGATCTATACGCAGCCTGGCTATACATGGGCAGAGGGTATATATATATCACTCCTCCGAGGTTCTGCGCCCGGCCCGGTTATGTGTTCAAAAGAGCAAATTACAGGGAGGTCAGGACCCTAAAATTAGACTGTCACGTGACCGCCGATGTTATCACCCAACCCCCGTCCAGATATGCGTCCGGACCAGAAATATTGATCGCGGGACCTCGTGCCGAATATTGGAACCGCGACACCAGACTGGTTCTGCAATGAAGTATTGATCGTCGATCGATAACATTCGTCTTTCGTATCGTCACAAAGTTATACAAAGTATCAATTTACAACGATGGCGACCACCGAATATTGTCACCGAGCGAGCGCCGGCAGCGCGCAGGACCCTATGATGGGGCTCGCCGAGGGGCGGGGTCTAAGGAACGGGTGGAGATGGATTTCGCTGCGTCCCGTCCCCAGGTTACTATTCGCAGACGCAGCAGGAAGTCGCGAGGAGTTCCGGCGATACCGTTGGGCCGCCTGTGCCAAGTGTGACCGCCGACCCGAACCTGCACATGCATCCAAGTGTGACCGCCGACCCGAACCTGCACATGCATCCAAGTGTGACCGCCGACCCGAACCTGCACATCCATGTGGGTCTGCGTGCGCACACTTGGACCGGTGTGCAGGTTTGGGTCGGCGTGCAGCCGCATGCTCCCATAGGGCAGTACACAACTGCACACAGGAGCGGATCCCTACATGGGCGTGTACGCTGTGTGAGTAAGCCCCAAGAGTCAAATTAGATCTATGCGCATGCGTCAAGGTGCCCACGCACCTTGGGATCATCGTACGATAGTCGCGAGGTGTATGGAAGGCGTGCGACCTCGGGCTGCTGTGCGGCCGCACGACTTTTGTCTTACGAGCACGTTAGAAGACCCGCCGAGAATCGTACGATTGTCGGCGGGTTGGTGGCGCGCTCGTAAGACAAATGGCGGACGCGCACACTGCCCGTTCAGCATTGCAGTCGTGGGAAGCCCGCCCCTCAGGGTGTGCGTGCCCATGTGTATGACCCATTACGGATAAGATCAGTATATTGGCCTTGTCCTCACATTACACATGAAGTCTGATGAACGATTTCCTCATTTCCCTCCGAAGTGTTTTAGGGGCCCAACAAAGACAAAGGATTCTTCATTGTCT